CAAAAAAAATTGATCTGTGATATAATCCAGCTATTCTACTCCTGGGTATATGCCCATATCCTCACATGAGACCCTCTCAACAAAATAAAAGAACAAAAACAACAGCAAATTCACATAACTACAGCCAAATGAAGTTTTGCACACTTACAATTACAACACTGTAGCATCAGAAGCAGGAGTGTTACCATGAGTTCAAGGCCAGCCTGGGCTAATAGTAAGTTCCAGGCCAACCTAGGCTATACTGTAAACTTTTGTCTCAGAAAAAACAAAAACAAAACAAAAAATACATAATTAATTTATACATACTAGAATGTGTGTATGTCCTCTTCGTTATACATTAATTAGATCATGCTGACCAACCAAACAGTCCTTGATTTTCTCACCATCTAGCTGAAGATATAATTAGCAAATTAAGCCAGGTCTGGTGGCTCATGCCTGTAATTTCAACACTTGGAGATCGAGGCAGGAGGATTGCCTCTGGTCTAAGACCAGCCTACTCTGCATTGTGAGTTCCAGGCTACACTCTGCCTCAACAAAACTAAAATAATAGTCACAGTAACTTGGTAAATAAAAATTACATATATTTACAACATACAATTCGATATTCTGATATATGTTTACATTATGAAATAAAATGTCTTGCACTTCTAGTTATTTAGGTTTTTTGTTGTGGTGAGATTTAGATCTGTTCTCTTAGTAATTTTCATACATATATGATGACCATCAGTACAACAAGTCTGTGGAACTTACATGTCCTGAGTGAGACTTTGCACCCTTGGGCCAACATCTCCCCATTGTGTCCTGAGCTTTTCTTACTAATGTGTTATGAGTACTCTTTCCTGGCACTACACATTAATTTCTATTTAACAGCTCTCTGTTCTTCCACATAATCATAATTTGGGAGGGCTGCTAGGGATCAAACCTGAGGCCTAATGCATATTACATAAGCAGTCCATAACTGAACTACATCCCCAGACAATATCCCAATTTTTAAAAGTTTAATTTTAGCATTACTGCCTGTGTATATGATGTCTGTGAGTGCAGACACTCGTGTGGAGGTCAGGGGATAACTTTCGGGATTTGGTTCTCTCTTTCTACGAGGGGTTCCAGGAATCAAACTCAGGGCGGCAGGCTTGGTGGTATGCACCTTTCCTGGAAGAACCATCTCACAGGCTCCCATTATCATAATTTTTTAATTAACATTCTTGAACATATCCTTTCTTCCTAGGATAAATTCCTAGAAGTGAAATTTTTAGGTGAAAGGAAGCTTATCTAACACTTTAATAGTCAGTCCTAAATTAATCTTTAAAAAAAAATGGAGCAATTTACATTTCTGAGTTATTTGTGAGCTAGATAAAATTGACCTTAACTACATTTCTTCCAGTATATCACACACATCTCTGGATTATTGCAGTTATTACACCTTCAGTGCTGTCTCAGAGAGCTTTGTAAGCCACAAGGTACGTACTGCCTTCTCTGATTTCTTGGTTTTCTCTCCTGCTAGTTGCTTGAGGACAGGGCTTTCATCCTGTACATTTTTTGTTTTTAAGAGATCTTGCATGACATCAGTCCTTAATACTTTGTTGACTCTCATTTGCTAAATATATTTTACCCTTGCCTCGGACACAGATTGCAATCAAAACTATTCAAGGATTAGTCATCAGTGACTCATAATTATGTAACCAAGAAGTAGGCCTAAACTTTAAATGTTCTTTGGTAGGTGAGTGTCAAAGCTTGCTTCCTTTGGGGACAGTAAGTGGTTGGCTATTTAACTATGCTAATTGTCTTACTTTTCGGTGGCATTTCTTGTCATTTTTACTACTAATATGAAAGGTGGGGACAGTTAAAGTGGTTGGCTATTTAACTATACTAATTGTCTTACTTTTCGGTGGCATTTCTTGTCATTTTTACTACTAATATGAAAGGTACAATACATGCTGATACACAATGAAAAAAAAAACAAGAAACACGGGTGGGGATGTAGCTCAGTGATAGAGCTCTTGCTTAGGATGTATGAGGCCCTGGATTCAGTCACCAGGACTGCAAAAATAAATAAATAAGCAAATAAACAAACATAAGTCTGCAAGATAGGTTTTTCAGGGACAGACTATTTTCCAAAAATAGAAACTAACTTGGATTCATGTGAAACTATTTTTCCAATGATCATGATTTTAAGTTTTTTTTCTTATTTACAAGATTACCTCATATTCTCCAAAAGATGCTGGGTTTTTCATTTTTATTACATTTTTAATTTATCATGTGTGTGTGCGTGTGTGTGTGTGTGTGTGTGTGTGTGTGTGTGTGTGTGCTACAGTAGTGCACATGTGGAAGTCAGAGAACAACTTTTAGCAGTTGGTTAGTTGGTTCAGTTGGTTAGTTGGTTCTCTCATTACACATTGTGGGTTCCACTGAGCCATCTTGCCAGCCTGGAATGAGGAGAAATTTGGCTTTAGGAGTCTAGAGATATCCCAGAGTTGCTGTTTGTAGTTGGGATAATACCAGCTGCTGTAATATATTTCCATGGACAGGAGGCTAGGGGTATAGCTCAGTGGTAGAGTGCATGATTTCGTGTGCAAGACCCTGTACTCAGTCCCCAGCACCCCAATAAAATAATAAAAATTTTAATATGATAGAAGCTTTTTTTTTGGTCTTTTGAGACAGGGTCTCCCTGCAGCCCCAGATAGCCTGGAACTCACTATGTAGACCAGGCTGGCCTTGAACTCACAGAGATCCATCTGCCTCTGCCTCCCAAGTGCTGGGATTAAAGGTGTGTGCAACCACACCTAGCAGAAGCATTTTTTGTGTGTGTGTCTTTTTTGAGACAGGGTCTCTTTGTAGCCCCAAGCTGTCCTAGAACTCACTATGTAGACCAGGCTGGCCTTGAATTTACAAAGATCTGCCTGCCTCTGCCTCCCAAGTGCTGGGATTAAAGGCATGTGCCACCACGCCCGGCACCAGAAGCATTTTAAAAAAATAATTTCTATTATTATTATTATTACATGCAGTTTTAAGGACTGAACCCAGGGACATGATACTCAAGTGTTCTACCACTGCCCCCCCATCCCCCAGCCAAAATGGTCTAAGTTGTGGTTGGTGGGGAGCTTGTCTTTTCCCTTTTGGGTCTTCAAGCGAAGGGGAGCCAGATGAAACAGCCACATTCCTGTTGAGCTGCTTCATCCTAGAACGGATGTTCATTCCCACTCACCTCAGACTGTTAAGAGCCAATCACAGCCCTATCTGGAAATGAGGAGGACAGCCGTAGTTTTGCTTGACTTTGCAGCCACCTCCCAGCAACAACTCCACCATCTGAAGGAGGAGCACATGTGATGTCTCTTGATGAGCTGATTCTCAGAACTTACTAGCTTGGCAGAACAGGTTTCAAAGCCCTGAGAGTCTGAGATTCCAACAGCTAGTTAGTGGTAGAAATGCAATGAAGCCTGAGCACCCAGGTCCCGTGTTTCCTTTGCTCATACTGAAAAGTGATCTGATGCGGGCTTAAACTATAACTTTCTTCTTGATTTATTACTTTAAATTGTATACTATGACATTTTTTTTAAAAAACCTCTTTTTCTCTAGGGAACAATGTCTCTGTATTTTGGAACAATTTTCAGGAGAAAATCTTTTTGGTGCTATAG